TTTTTTATGTTTTTTTTTTTTTTGTTTTTTTTTTTTTTTTTACTATATTTGATAGGTGTTGGGTTGCTAAACTATGTATTTTACACAACAAAAATGCATTGGCATTTGCTTGTAACAAGAAAAAAACGTGTCAAGTTCAAATAAAAGATTTTCGATTTAACATCAATGAAACATGTGGATCAACAGTGAGATTTTTTACCAAATACAAATGTGTACCAGGTAATATAGACTTACTCTAAGTAGCAAAGTTTCATCTAGTTGTTTGTATTGTTCGATTTGAATATTTATTTATTTATTTTTCAGTTATCTATGATCAAAAAGATTTTTTATGTGAATCGGTTAATTCTCGTCGTCCACCGGAGATCAATTTATCGTGTAATCATGATTATTATTTATACATTACATATGCCGTTTTGGGTATAACGCCAAAGAAAGGTTCGACTGCATGTAAAAAAGAGCAGTGGTATTGTAATCAATATGTCCACCATACTTATTCAAAATTATGTGCAACAAGTGTAAAGAAAGATTCCTGTACAATTCGTTATGAAGATCGACCACCATTGAAAGATTGTACATATGGAATATATAGTAATTTTTCATTAGTTGATTACAGTTGTATACCGAGTAAGTTGTTCGATTAAGTTGGATATTAATATCTGTGATAACGGTTATCAAAGAAAAAAAGATCGAAGTTCAATTGTGAATATTATTTTGTAGCGTCTTATACAGCTTAAAATGTGATTTTCTGTAATTTTATTCAATCTATAGCAAGTTTTTTTCTCTCTTTACTTTAGATGAGCATATCGTTGAAGATTTACCTCGTATAGACATTTGTTCAAATGACAGTACTTTGATCAATAGTGAACGTGGTCTACTTCATAGTCCTCAATATCCTCAACCTATTGGAAAATCTCTCAGGTGCATAAAAGAACTTCGTATTCAACGTGAGGCACGATTTCGTCTATTTTTATTGAAAAAACAAATTGAATATTATCATGAGTTTAACATTCGATTTGTTAATGAAGAAAAAACACAAAATACTGGAAAGCGATTGATATTAGCAAATGAATTGATCGATGTGAATTTTACGAATGAAATTGTCCAATTTGAATTAAAAACAAATCATAATGGTGGTGGACACTTTATATTATATTTTCAAGGTAAAACTTTTTACTTTTGCTGTATTGTATATCGCTAACTGTGTATGATTTGCGATAACTGCTTCTCTTTGTGTGAAATATCGATGGTTCCGGTGAAAATGTTTAGTCTACTTTTAAGAGCAAATTTGTGCATTCAGCCATTATTCTTTATGCTACAGTGACGAAACGTACGTATGTTACGTTGCGTTACTTCAAATTAAAACCGAAATATACAAGATAATGTTAATATAATTCATTGCAGCTCATCAGTTTAAAACCAGAGCGATCGTTTCAGGGCGATCATTTGTGTTCTGGTACTCCACTAGCGATGTTATGTTAATGCTACAGTTATATTTTTATTGTTAAATCATATCGTTTGTGATTGTTAGCAGGAATCTGAAGTTAACACAATTTTTAGTCAATGCAAATATTGACTATTAGTCATAGGCGGCGGAGCGTTTTGAAAATAGTTGAGGTTCGAAAAAATTTTCGAAAAAGGTTTTGCTTTTCATTCTTCGATACAAAACTGGAGAAATACTGTTCAAACCAAGAGAATCTGCTTTCTTCTTGTATATGGGACAAGCCACATGTTTTAACGAAATCTTAAAACCAAAAATATGTGAGACTTGTGCCTTTCGAGTCGGCCGCCTATGTTATTAACTATTGTGTTTAATAATTTTACCCGAGACGATAGATGTAGATTGTGCAAAAGGGTTGAATTACCCACTCATTCTACAAGATAATGGGACGTTTTACATTTCCCGCACTGGTGTATTGTATAAATTGTTTCAAAAACGTCTTATTTATTGATATGTGGCACGTAGATGACTGAATGTCAAAGTTCTTTTCATACTCTTAAGGTGTTGGAACTTTATTTTTCCTAAGGTCAAACATTCGATCATACATACGTCTACTAGCGTAATCGTCTTTTTTCTTAATCATTTCAATATAGACACATGTGTTATTCTCTCTTTTCCACCATTGATATATTCATTTTATTTGATCTACGTGCTGTGCGTGTGTTTCTCTTAGTTATTGAAACAATGCCATAAAAATATTTTTCTTTCGCATATATCTGTTTACAATTAATTTCCTTGTTCTGACTACTAGATAGAAAGAAATATATGCACACAACAAATAATTCCATTAATTATTCCACGCATGGGAATAAAATAAATAAGAAAGTGTGTGCGTGTTTCTAACAGACAAGAAAACAAATAACTTTGTACGAATTATTGTAGACAATAGCACTTTTTACAACTTTTTGAAAGTTTAACAACATTCACAGTTGATTTTATACAACAAGACAAAGAGTGAAAGCGCTTGGAGGAAAAATTAAAATTAATCGTTTTCCTTCACTAGATGATACCGACTAATGCGTTCTAACTTCGCAGCTTCCATTCTTCCTTCACAAGGGTAAACAGGCCAATATGTAAATTCCCTCCATCAATTTTGATATTCTCTTTTCTTTCTTTTTATTAGAAATTGGCCACGTTCAATCACTTTTGTTATAGCATAGTCTCTAAATTGTATTGTGTGAATAACTTTTGACTGAAGGCTACTTCACAAATCTTCAAATAGTCTTCAAAGATCAAATAGTAGATACAGCATTATCTCCCTGAATTTATATCATATATTATTACGCTTTCTGTAAATAATAGTCTTTTCTACCGACAGTTATTTTCTCTATTTAATGAATTTTAGTCGATTCACATATATCCGAATACGCCCCTCATTCATTGGAGACTGAACGACGTCCGAATGCAAGTAAACAAAAAAATCATGGAAAAAGAGATATTGGTATGTATATTAAATATGTTTATATTTCTCGTCAGCTAATAATGTTATTTGTCTCTGTATTTGATGATTTTGAATTATTCAGCTATTTTCGTTTTTATACAATGGTCATTAACATGATAATAGGAAAGAAATTAAAAGAAAAACTATAAACTTATGATAACTTCTGACGTATTACCCATATAGAATGAAAATGTAATGTTCTCAACCCGTGGAAAGTACTATTAATACTTAAATATCAAAATAACATTATGTAGATCAGATGCCTATTCAGAAAGATATGTGCAGAATATAGAAAAGAGCAGTGAAGTTGAGTTTTGCAGTTCGTCTACAAAGATATAGTTCGTGTGCTCGATCCTAGCTTCGTGTCAGAATTTTGTGTTTTGATAGTTTAAGTTTCAGAATGATATAATGGAAATTTATATATTTCTCGGTTTCGTTCTGGTTTGAGATTAAAACTTAAATGTTGCTTTAAGGGTCCCCCCTCAGAATGAAATTAGTTTGGAGACAAGCACACGGAAAGATAGCCTGAAGTGGCTGCATTCAGAATCTGCATCCCTTTCGGATCTGCAACTGATTTTACGTGGTTTTCGAGCAAGTTTTTTAGCAGCCTTGAAAACCAGGATTTACAGTGAAGGGTAGTTTCGACCTTGGACTCTAGAAAACTCCGGAGCGGTAACAGATAGAGACTAAAAAGAATATTGTGATCACACCTTTGAACGTGCAACATTTGCTGAAAGTTTGATCAGAATCGAATGTAAGATGAAAAAGTTTTTTTCTGGGGGGGAGGAGGAAGGGTCCTTAAGGTAGAAATTAAAATTTAGTGGAATTTAAAATTCTCCTAATAGACATTAAAATTTTAATTCTTCCTAGCGAAAATTAAAATCAATACATTCACAAACACGAAAACTCAATTATTCGGCTTTAGACATCGAATTTTAGTCTTCTGAAAACCGCACGATGTTTATGAACATCAGGTGAAGATTATAAACAGTGAATGCGAATCCAAAAATCTTCATCTGACCAAAATGTAGCTATAAATTCGGGTATCGGTCACAAAACGTTTACAGGTCAAATTCTGCTCACAAGTTGCTTGTTTTAAACTGGCAGTCACTGTTCATAATCTTCATCTGATGTTCATAAATATCGTGCAGTTTTCAGAAAACAACTAAAATTGGAGCTCTAAAGCCGAATAATTGAGTTTTCGTGTTTGTGAATATGTTGATTTTATTCTCACTAGGAAAAATTAAAATTTTAATTTCTATTAGGAGAATTTTAAATTCCACTGGATTTTAGATTCTCCTGTAACATAAACCAAAAATGATTAATCAGGAATAGTTATCATGTTTTCTTCTTATGTTTTAGGAGTATTGATAGGTATTGTTGCTGGTGTTATTTTGGTTCTTCTTATACTCATCATTGTTATCACCGCCATTCTAGTATCAAGGTATGAATATTATTAATTTATTCAAAGACATATTTTCTTTGACTTTCAGCTGGGGTTAGATTAGAATAGCATCACAGTTCTTGTTCACATTTACAATAAATCAATAAAGTTTTGATCTTGTTCTCTCTGTATACAAACTGAACAGAATGATTGTTTGTTTTTGTTATTAATGTGGTTTTTGTATGTCATTTTTGTTTAGACGTCGTCGTCAGCGTCATCTGAAATACTTACGCTCACATGACGATCATAATAATCAACATTTAGATTCATCGTCACCCATCAATAATAATCATTTGGGACCACTTCGCATTGAACATCCTCATTTACAACTACCTCATGTTCCTCGTCCAACTTCAACTTCATCTGCTTCCTCTTCTTCTGTTATCATTCATCATGTTGCCGATAATAATGATCGTGAATCACTTCTTAAACCATCATCACCTATAAATCATCTTACACAAGGTGATCGTGAACAAGCAGATAATTTTTATGAAGAAATTAAAGAACAACAACAACAAGCTGCTCTCGCTTTAGCTGCTATTCATAATGATACGCCAGAACAACATTATCTAGAACCGAAATCATTTGAACAAAAAAAGAAATTTTTTGAACAAGAAACCAAAAATCATGGCGATAAAGTTTTGTTTTTACCAAAATCATCACCAACAAACAGACCGATGACATCGAATGGAGGAGAAGATGAGAGACACCGAGAGGTACTCTATTATGAGTGCGAAGAATAATCGATCAGCATTGTATTAGTAGAACAAAAAGATAAAGAAAATCTTTTTAAATTGCCGAATCTCTTCATCACCTTCTGCCTTTCTCACATTTTCCGAATTTCAAAGTGTCACAGCTACCCAGTACACATAGATAGATGATATAGCATCGTTTAAGAGTGCACTGGTATCTAAAAAGGTGCCTAGATGTAGATAATACTCATTCAATAAAATGTAATTTAAAACGATTTTCTTTTTCTCTTTATTTTCTTTCTCTTGCTTTATTGTTAAAAATCTCACGCCTATTCTTATACACACACTTTATGTGTAATTTGCTGCTTTACGTACGCGTGCTCATTAGTTATATGCATCATGTTTTTCTTGCTTTATATCATAGTTTATTTTATGCAGTTATATGAATCTACGCATGGGTATGAAGATTGAAAGTGTTTATGAGTGCGAGGTTGTATATACATTTCGTAGAAATTGTTGTTGAGTTTTAAACGGAGAATGACATATTTTTCAAAAATATCTATCCGGTTTCTTGTATATTTGTATGTTTATGTGCTTATAAATGTCTTTATAAGTTATTTTTACTTTAAAAAAACGTTGTTAGTAACGCTTTAACAAGCTCACTTTTTCTTTGATTAATCCAGCTAGAATGATAGGTAAAAATAGCGATTCATCAGTTTCAACTCGATAACTGATTTTATTTTTTAGTCTGAAAAGTCGTATTTTTGAGTAAAACTCAGTTCCTATTGATGCAATAGTTAAATTGAGTTCCAAGTACAAATAGTTGTGCATTATGTTTTTTGTATTAGTGCCCTTTCTCTTGCTCATGTGCTAATCTAGTGCTAATATCTAGTCGTTTGTTTCTCAATCGTTCGTTGTAGTGGTGCTATTTTCTGTCATTTGTTTTAAAAGTCTATTTATACAAAGTACGTTTTTTTTTTAATATAGTAGTTCGAATAAAAAGAAAGAACAACCATCAACAGTTGACGATCAAACATTCTGAAGAGAAATTATATTGTGTCTCGATAACTCACTGGTTAACCTTTGGATTGAGCAATCAGTGTGCTGCGTTCGATTCTCAGCCGATGTATATTTTTCCTTTTTATCCTTTCATCAACATTCGGCCAAATATAAACAATAAATATTCATGTGTTATTTTGTTTGCATTAATAGTAGATGCTTGCCCAATTGTTGCTATATAATGGTTATCGCTAATGCTTCGATGCTTAGTTGTCTCGATGCTTTAGTTGTCTTTGTGAGTTTTGTATATGCTATTATATAATCTTATTGTCGTTTAGAACGGTCAAGAACAGCAATTTCGTAAAAAAGCTGCACCATTAGCTACACCTGAAACTGAAAAAAAACAACAAAAACTTTTACATCTTCACTCGACGGTTAATAATGATGGTTCAATGACAAATACCGAAACATTAGACATTCATCCATCAAATTCAGCTCTAGTTACTGCTTCAAGTAATATTCAATTACAACGACCTACAGTACCACCACCAAAAATACCACCTCCTCGAATGGACATATTACCTCAACCATCAGCGCCACCATTACACTTAATGAATCCTGAACAACGAGAAATGTTGCGAGCACATCAACGTTTAAAACATGAAAATCATTTGAATATTTGAAGATATATTTTTAGTCAATTTTCTATTCAAAACACGATTAATTTATTCATTTTAGAATTATCACTCATTGTTGAGCTTCACTACAGTTACTTGTTCTCAATTTTCTATTTTTATTAAAAGAACAGTGACTTTTTTTCAGTCAGCAATTCTATTTTTTTTTAAATCTTTGTCTCTACCGATAGTCTTCCTAACGACACATTTCATCACTCTTATAATTTCCCACTGTTTCTATGTTTTTTTGTAGTGTTTGAAAAAAGCTTTCTCTTCTAGAGATGATGTAGTAAACTGCTAAAACTTTATTGTTCTGACATCATTTAGACGATTGTTGTGTTGTTGTCATTTGATAACTATGTATTCATTCACAGTAGCTTTCTGTTATTAGCACTGAAGAGTTCAAAAGTAATTTTGAAAAGTTAAAAGTTGAGTTGATTTATAAATCGGGTTCAAGTACAGTCGACGAGAATCAACGAATTTATGTGAATTAGCTGGTACCGATAAAATTGACGAACAAAATATTGAAGATAAAGATTTATTAGATTTAACAACAATGATCAACCATGACAATCGAGAATTGACAAAAGTGTTGGCTGATGTTGGTCTGGCAGAAGAAGAGAGCAATGGTGGTGAAGTTGATGAAAGTACTCCAACAGAAGCAACCGATGATGACGATCATAATGACGATTACAACATTGATAATATTCTTCGCCCTCTATTTGTTACAAGCATATAGTCTTTCTTTTCTTCTTATTTAACTGTTGTGCAAATGTGTGTAATTTTATGCAAAAAGGATATAGTTTTGTTCCAAATTGAGTTATAAAAGATTGACTGAATAAAAAAGCTGCAATCTACCGACGTTCATTTATAAATCTCAACCCGATAACTATTACTAAAAGTTAAAATAGTTATAAATGGTTGAAGTTATAAATATTTATAAATCATATACTTTTAAACTCTTCAGTGATTATTAGTTTTAAATTTTTATTTAACCTGCGCATTTTATATATTACAGATTTTCTAGTTTAATAGTCTATTTGCAAATGTTTTGTGCAAATATTCTATACTTTTAATTATTTTCAAGATATTTTATTTTCTTCTGGCACCCTTAGTAGATCTGATATATCAATGATGTGTTACCCGTGCAAAAAAATATGAGAATATTTTACTTTTGTATGAATTATCTGTCGTTTTTTCTTTTTAATATGCATCTAGTTCATTTTCATTCTGTTCGAACCAATACATATTTCTTCTCCTTTTACTATTTATAGCAAACGGTGTCTGCATAGTATAGCTAAATTTTTTTCTGCTTTATTGTGCAGGTTTTTTTCATAGATTAATTTATCAGCTTTTATTTGTATTCTACTCTTATGATCAGTAAATAGACATAAAAACTATTGAACGATTTGTATGTGAAAGTCTTACTAGTCCCATCTATGTAAAGAGTGAGATTTACAAGCATTTTGACGCAAAACACAATCTCTTGCATTGAGGAAATCCACATTTTTAGACTCACGACACAATGGAACATAGTTTGCGTCAGAATATTAAAAAAGTTTTAAATTTATTAAAATTTAAGTTTTGATTTGCTTTTTTTTGTTCAAGCTTAATCCTTATCTTACTAGTCTATTGTTGAGAAGTGAAGCGAGTCGAGGTATAAAATCTCGGATATCTTCACAAATTCAGCTAATATACACTTCTTTGTACCAGTTTAACGCTCAGTTTCCTGAGCGACCACTGACTGTGTCCGAAAGAGGAATGTTCCATGTGAAAAAACAACTTGAGTTCTAAGTCTGATGTAAAAAACATTCGGCACTAAAGATAGAGTGTTCTGGTAGCGATAACAAATAACATTTATGCGTATTGATAGGATGCTTAGGAGCTTTGATGTTAAACGCAAATAACCGCAAAACATTTTAGCATGTAGCACAATACTCGATCTTAAAGTCCATTAACAAGATCATTGTCGGAAATGTGTTAAAATCTTTTGCACTATGTAACGCAAAAAACTCGAAAACAAACCTGTGATCCAATCGTATATGAACTTTTGCATCAGAACGTGAATGCTCAACGCGTCACGACGGTCAGCTTTCTGTTTAATTTTATGTTACAAAGTAAATAAAATACTTAAGTTAACGAAAACTGTCATCAAATAGCTCATTCATTATTGATTGGATTTCATTGTTAAATCTATAGCTAAATAATAGACTTTTAACTGGCTAAAAAGTCCTAAAAAGCTGCCTGTCGACAGTCACCATTACTTGTCCATTATTTCACTATGAATCATGGTCCAAAAAGAGAATAACAGCCATTTAACTGTATCTATTTGAAACTGAAATTTACATCGGTCATTAACTGTCTGTTAACAAACCGCTGTTGACCAGTCAATATATCAGGAAAAAACTACAATTTAATGTTAGCAGTTTTTTTAAGCATTTATCAATAAATCATTCATCCTTTTATTTCGCTATTGTGATTAATATAAATATGATAATGATTCTTTTGAAAAATATTAGAATTTTTCTCTTCTTCAATTATACAAGTCATGGAAACTTGTTGTGAGGGAGTAGTTCTTAGTTTTGGGGCTGACACCAGTGAAGATATCATGAGATCTAACAAACCAAAAACATTGAAAACTTTTGATATCATTCTTTATGAGATTATCAATCAGAAGGAAACCACCTTTAGGCATTAAAATATTCCTAGTTTGATAGGAAAAACATGGTAATGGTCGAAAAGTTTCCATTTAACAAACATTGGAATGTTTATAAATGAGTATTTAATAAGGCAATTGATTACGTTTTTACTCACATGGATGATCTATCAGAGAATAACTACACTCACGTCAAAAAACTCGACAACTATCATTTTTGAAAAGCACATCGACATTTTATTTCCAATTTCAATATCTCAATGTAAATTTCATTCGTCGTTTTATACTGGTTCGTAAAATTGTTCAATGGTAATATACTCGCATCTCCGATAGATATTACACTGTGTGAACAGCATGTTAATCTCTACAACATGTCCGAAGTAAACGACAGGATAACAGCACGCTCGCTTTAAAATTTGTCATTGTGGGTTTTCAAGTTAAAGTCAAAATATGTTGCTGGTATGATAAAAAGAATGTTTCCTATATTAAAAATAAATTCATCTACAATTGTTGAAATCTTGATTTATAACAAAAAAAAATTCTAATCTGCTGTGTGAAAAGTGCGCATCAGAATAGCTCAATAGTTGCGAAGAGTATCGGATTGTATCAGCTTAATTATTAATCGTTCGACTAAAAGAATAATGTAACATATACTACAGTACTTGTTAAGTTGAATGTTAAAGTAGCAATTATTTTTTCCCTTTTATTAATTGTTTCTTTTTTGACTGATAACATACAGTCAATTATCAAAGTCATTTCAAGTATTAACTTATTCGTTTGACGTTACGTAAACTTCCAAAAACGAAGACTTGAATAACTTTTCTTTGATCTGCTGTTGTTGTTATTATTGAGTTTTCCATTTTATTCAAGTATAGGGATAAATGTTTCTTCTATTTAATCTTGATAAATAGCTTTTCGTATATAGGAAGAGAGAGAGAGAGAAAGAATTGCTTGTATTATAGAAATAATAGACGAACAATTAAGCGTTCGTTCACACAATTAGAAATTGGATAGAAAAAAACAAAATATATATATATATATATATGTCTGTATGTATGTCCATCCATAGTGTTCAGTTTATAAGAATAAATGCTGCTGAGTTTCACACGATCATTGTAAATAACGAAGTAAATTCATTATCACAGACGTTCACCAAAATATTTTCACGACGTTAAACGTAAGTTCAAACTTGTGACCATCGACTAACGATCAATCGATACTTATTTTTTATGTAGATACGTGCTAATCGAAGTTTATTATAGTATATTTCATACTATTAGAAACTAGTAATAACTTTTCTAATTTTTTTCACACTTTTAAATATATAAGAACACCTAATGAGCAAACAAAAACAAATTTAGATTCTTAATTGATGAGATAGTGAGAAAAGAGTTTTGGCTCAATTAGAATGATTATTACATAAGATAATAATAATAAGAATCGTCGATTTGTTTCTCAATTCGTATACTATTTCTAAATGAGCAGGACACTGTTTAAAACATAAATCTATTGAATGTATTTATTTGTCATGTATTTACGAATAGGTTAAAGGTAGTAATATGAGTAATTCACCATTTCCAGCACTTCCACATGTATTAATGGGAAAAATTGTGAGTTGGAAGCATAGTAATGAAGAGTGTAATCATGGTGAGAAAGCAGTCGAATTTCTTATTAAAAAATTAAAGTCAAAAAAAGGTAAATATTCATCTATTTCAGTAATATGTTCATTTTTTTACATCTTTCTTTCTCTTCTGTAGGTGTTCTTGATGATTTAGCCAATATTTTAATTGATCCTAATCAACCAATATCAAAATGTATAACAATTCCAAATTCAAGTGATAAACGAATACAAATTGGTTATAAAAAATATTTTCCTCATGTTCTCTATTGTCGTCTATGGCGTTGGGCTGATTTACAAAATCATCATGAATTAAAAGCAAAAGATTATTGTCAATATTCATTTTCTCAATCTAAAACAGATGTATGCATTAATCCCTATCATTATGATCGAATTTATTCAACAGGTAAATATCATATTTATTCCTATAAGATGGTTAAAAAAGAAAAGAAAATATTTGATCTTTGATTTAGTTCTCCCATCGATTATTATTCCACGAATGGATGAAAATTTTTCAACATATCAAGAATTACCCTATGATCATTCAATAGTCAATAATTACTATCCACAAGAATGTGACTCTTTAAATTCAATACAAAGTACGAAGAAATAAAAATTGTGAAATATAAAAAATATAAATTGTTTATTTTCTCTTATTTTAGATGTTTATCCCGTACAAGTTCAATATGATGATCAAACATTATCATCATCTTATTCTTCTTGTATTCAAAAATGGTGTACACTAGCTTATTATGAATATTTTGATCGTGTTGGTGAAAAATATAATGTTACAACACCTTTCGTCTATGTTGATGGTTATACATCACCTTTAAATACCTATCCAAATCGGTTTAGTTTGGGCGTTATATCAAATGTTCAAAGACGTTCAGAAGTGAAAAAAGTTCGATCAATTATTAAAGATGGTATATACAGAAAATTTAGATGACTATCAAATAACATTATGATTTTGTTTTAGGTATTGAATTGAGTCAAACATGTTTTGGTGATGTTTATGTTCGAAATCTTTCATATACCTCCTCAATTTATGTTCGATCTATTTTATACAATCGTCTAAATGGTTTTCGTGATACAACTGTCTGTAAAATCTTACCTAATAGTCGATCAAATATTGTACTAAATAATCAACTTCTATTTAAATATGATTATTTTAAACAATTATTAATACAATCAATGCCATTGTCATATGATTATGTTAATGAATTGTCAAAACTTTGTTCAATTCGTCTAAGTTTTGTCAAAGGTTGGGGATCCGATTATGCACAATCAGATATAACATCAACACCATGTTGGTTAGAAATACAATTGAATAAACCACTTCTAGAAATTGATCATATTTTACAACAAATAGAACCACAAGGATTTATTACATCATTCTCATAATTATGAGATACAGTTTTGTTTAATGATTATATAATTTTAAATGAAAATATAATAGAAAATTTGTAATTCGTAATTCTGAAATATCAATGTTATCAATTTTAATTATAAACGTATCAATTATTAATTCTTTTTTTAAATGTCTCATTTTTATTAAACTCTTATGGACAAAAGGATTATTTCATTGATTGTTGTTTCAAGAGACGAAAATGTCTTTATGATTAACGGCGATAAATGATCCACATTATTAGTATTAGTATTCTTTTCTAGGGTTTTCAAATGATATCCATATTTTACTATAATTTGTTTTTCTAATATTAAAATTATCTTCACTGTTGCTGTTGATTTTTTCCTACTCATATAAGAGAGACAATGATAATTCTAATGTCATATTGTATGTTTTTCTGTATTATATTTATTTACAGAGTTTGTAGTGTGTAAGAGAATCTCATGTCTGTTGAATAACGTGATTTCAAAATGGTGTTTGTAAAATATGATAAATAGTAAGGATAAAAAAATTATTCCTATTTTTTTTTCTTTAATGTAAAATATGACCTTGAAAATCTTTGACACATCAAATGGACTAGTTTTTTCCAAGATTAAAAATTAAATTTTATAAATAAATATGCTTATTTGAACTGTATTTTAATCGATGGTTCAATGATAGTTTCACAATAACAGACGGTTTTAGATAGTTCGATACTCGAAAAAAAAGTGTCCCATAAGTCGGTTTCGATTAGACCCATACATAGGTCTCAAAATAAGACGGGTGACGATAAGACTAATGAAAAGATTTTATTTTAAGACTATAAATTTATCTGTTTCATAGTAGTTCGAATGATAGGAGGATAAGCTCATTAGAGTAGATCAGTGGTTTTAATCTGGATGTTAATATTTTATAAGAGAAACATGATAACATTCAACAAGTGTATTTTATTAAATCCTCTGTTCTCTATATGCAAATAGTCCATACGAAACAAAAGAGGTGCGTGATTTCTCATACTTCAGGCGACAAAACTAAGACCTTTTTTCTTCAGTCGTAGACGGAAGACGGTAGATTATCTTTCTTGAAATAAGACGGAAGAAAAAAAGTTAGACCGATACAGGAGTGAAACGGATTTTTTATTTTTTACAGTGGAGAGTCCTATCTATCCCAGAAAATGAATGTATCAGACAATAATACTTTTTAGACAGAAACAATATTTTTTCTGCTTATTTTATGACAAGTAATTTAGATAAAATTTCAACCGTAAGGATATCATTAACTTTTTTTGCTGTTAACTAACATTCAATGAAAATTACAGTGATCGATATTTCTGATCTAGAGCGAAAAATTATGTTCCGAATCTAAAGTAAGTTTAACATTGTCCTTGCTCAGACAAGTGATTAGAACAGAAAGTTTGAGTATTTCATTAATATCACCGGTAGAAAAGTCAATAAGATAGTTGAGAATAGACGGAGATTTTCGAGATATATAGCATATTATTCCAAGACACTATTAAGATGGGATAAAAACTAGAAAGACTAGAACAAATTACACCTAGTATAGCGTTTTAAAGATAGAAGAGAGGCCAATTTTAAATGAAATTTATCCTTAGTATTTATAAGTTACTTTTAATCGGAGTTTGTAGAGATAATATTTTGTAGTGTTATATTCATAATCCATTTTTGGCTATTGCCATCAAAAACTAAAAATTTCATAACTCAGACAAAATCGACTCAGTAGGAAAGTTTCGTCTACTGAATCTGATCCTACAATTAAGATTAGAAAAAAACCTTATTTCCAAAGATTTCCAAAAAATCTCCTCAAAAACCAAATACTTTCTATTGAGTTCTAAAACTTGTTGAAGTCCAGAATCTACAGCAGTCGACACGGAGTATATGTGAAAACTTTCCTATAGTTTAGATTGATTTTGACTGAGTTATGAAACTTTTAGTTTTCAGTGACAATAGCCCAAAATCGATTATTTCACTTAGTATAGATTTCCACTACGTTTTCGAATTTTCTTGTGAAAACAAACATTGTCACGAGACTCGGCATGATCGAGCTAATCACACTGAGAGAGATAGGTCCTCAGTGAACATCTGTAGCGTCTGAATCATGGTAGATGGAGACGTAGGACTTGTGTAATTTTGTAGAGCGAAGTCCGATGGTTCGAATCCACGTGTCGGCTTTCAAAATTCGAAACATTTTTAGTGGATAAGATCTTGCCTAAAAGGTACTGATAGTTACACCATCTCTAGTTAGTATACCTCATTCTATTTTTCTACAGAAAGATGCACAAAACTCCTTCCTCCCAAATGGCGAATACTGCAGGTACTTAGCAGTTTTCTATCAAAATTTATTCAAAAAATAGCCAGGTCTCTTGTATTTTGAACTGAATCGTACTAATATAATTCTCATCTAAAATTAATCTTAGGTCTGATCATTCATTTAGAATTTTGTAGAGTTTGTCGAGCGCAATTTCTCTATGCCAAACACAAGCTGGTTTACTTATAGAAAAAAAGGCCCGAAACGATCACACGATATCTAGATACTAGGTAACCAAAAAAAGAAATCTTTTTTCTCTGTTCTTACTCAACTGACTACTATGATTCATCTACCATTTTTGTACAAGGTTTTATTGCCGATTTTTGTGCACTAAGCTTTACCCTGTCTCTAGTTTTTAGATTTGAAAAAACAATCATTTTTTCGGAAATGTTAATGCATTCTTGTGAAAAAAATAAAAAAGTTTCTATGATTTTTAAGACCTAGACTATATCGAGAAACATGCACAAACATTTTCTCTACAAATTCCGATTAAAAGTAACCTTAAAAATGCCGGAAGCATATTTCTCTTAAAATTGGCTCCCCTCCTTTGTCTGAAAAAACATGTATGCCAGTTTTCTAATATTAATGGTCAACATTTTTATCATCTACTACAATTAAATCGACAGTCAATATACAATTTGTGATTTAAATAAGAAAAAAAAAAAGAAGAACAGTTTAAATCTACTGTTAACAATTCATTTGTAGACGTTCATAATATTCATAGTCAATAAATGTATCTCGCATCATAATCATTATTAATGAATATATCTGAAAGAACAATGAAGGTCTATGGGTGCCAAAAAATTGTCTAAAATGTTTTAAACAAAACGTCTCTGAGAAAATGTTTTGATCAGTCTAAATATGTATGCAATTGATTCAATAGAACATACATACTGTTATTCTACTAATGTTTGTTGTCCATTTACTAAATAAAAGATTGTCTATAATTAGTTTTGAGAGTATTAAGAAACTTACTTTCATTTCTTGTGGTATAAACACAATCACTATATCGTCTTGAATTTGTCAATTACCGGAGATCGTAACCTGAGATGTCATTAATCAATCTCAAATTAGGGTCTCAGGGTGTTGACAACAAATTCATTTTTAGAAATTTGATTTAATTTCTTTTGTTTGTATCTAAAAATATATACATTGTTAATTATGACTTTTTTCTTTTTATATGCAGCCACTGTCGCAGATGATAATAACATAATTCTATTATGATGATGATTCGATGTATATAGATATATACACACCCACAAGCTTATCTCTGTTTTTTTTAATAGACTAGCATGGTCAGAACGAACGATGTTTTCTTCTTCTTTTATACAAAGGTATATATTAATATTATTATTATTATTATTACTATTATAATTATTATTGTCATCATATTTTGCATTTATCACACATTGTGATGGTTAACTTCTTTTTATATTTTGATAAAAACTGTCTCAGAAGTGATATAGAGTAATAAAACAAAATAAATAAAGTGAAATTACATAAAAAATCCCGCCAAATACATATTTTCACTCTATTCATCTCATTATAGATCAAAAGAACAATTAGAGCTTCAAGCAATAATAGCAATAGTATATCAAATTAACAATGTAACTCCTAAAGTCGAATGATTGGACTAATTTGCCTAGAACATACATTTGTAAATTATTTCTGTTGAAAATTTTAACGATTTGACACAAAAAATTTGCTGAACAAGAACTGAACAACAAATCTATAGTCACCAGCAGATTCAAAACAATGATTTCAAATTCTAAGCTCAAAATGAATAACAATTAAATCATTTGTTATATATCTTATCAACAGCGACGTTCTATCTCCGAAATTAGATGAATCAAGTCACACGTAATAAATATTCAAAGTTCTAATGATAATATCGATAACACATAAAATTCATATACACGTATCGCATTATTTAATAAAAATTTGATGATATTAACAGTACAATCCGAAATTTCTCCAGTATGTCTACGATCAGAATGTGAAATTCAGAACATTAGTGTACAAAAATCTATATTGACTTAAAAAAATCTAAAATCTTCTGTTCTGTCTTGCTATATCTTGAAATCGTATCAAATACTATCGCTGGTCGCCCTTTTAAGCTGTTTTTTTACGTAGAAAAAGTATCATGATAGTTTATCAGCTTGATGTAACTGATGCTGTTGATTGACCTCCGTTCTTTATAAAGATGTAACTATTGATTTCAAAAAGAGTAATTGCCTACTAATCTACATAAATATAGACATAAAGCTTCCCAATTCCACTAGAGTCTAGATTAGAATGTACAAAAACGAAGTAACCAATTTCTACTGATTATATTCACAGTCTTGCAATTCGATTATCAACTAATCAATAGGTTTTTCTATCACTGTACTAATTTTGTCAAGACTACTGCTTAATACTCATAGAATAATACCATTATGATCTGTTACTCCAATATTTGTCTGAAATATAAACAATTCATTGATAACATTTCACTTATCAAAGAATCCTATTATAAATGTTTTCTTGTGATCGAAACTTGAGTAAGGATTGGTAAACATTCAACTAATGCATGTTTGAAACTGATGAATATGTTTCACTATCATAGTCCAATATTTTTCATCGTTGTATAATTTGTACTAGTATAATCAAATCGCCAATATTAATGTTTAAGTATTAAATCTATGATATGACC